TTGATGAAGTTTATGATAATGTTTCTTTGATGTTAAAACTCATTTAGAGTGTTATTTTGTTATACTGCACCTTACTTACTTTGAAGGGTTGTTTTACATGTTATTAAGTTGAAGTACTTTCAAATAAAGCTGTGGTTCTATCAAGTACGTGACTGTCCAATAATTGAGTGGAGTGCTATGTTTAGAATTTCTATATGTTTTCTCTTTGTTAAAAGACAGACATTATAACACCAATAGCTTCTTAGTTCATATTACATGTCATGGTTACATTTCATTATTTATCCACAGCACACAAACCATGAGCTTCAATACAGGTCCATATTGGTTACTTCAAAACTATCCCTGATAAAGACAAGAATAAGAATTGTTTGTAATAAACTTGAAAGAAGTAGATACGTTTTACTTCATGTTTATTAGAAATATATAATATTGAATAGAAATGTGTTAATAGTTAACTGCATAACACAAGTGTTATTAGTCAACAAACGCATACTTTGTTGGTCTTTATTAAAGTACTTCTGTATATAAATACTTGTACATGCTACAGAAGGGAAACAGGGAGCCAGAGAATCTCCTCTTCTTCTCTCCTCTGCTTCATGATCTCACTGCATCCTCACAAAGTCACAACATGATGTGAAACAAATGAAACCTTTACACCAAAAAACCCTTAAATAGTCTTGAGATCAAGTCACACATTGAGGAGATGTTCCTTCATAGATACAGCTGTAAATATCAGCAGAAAGGTTACTGAGGAAAACACAGACTCTCCACACCGCGAGTGTTTCAGGTGAGAGTCACTTTTTAAAAACACAAGGTCAAATCAATCAGATCTTCTGCACTTTAAAGGGTTCTGCTGATGTTCAGGTGTATGTAACATTGCTCTGTAACACTCAACACACGATCACATGATGTATGTAGAAGGTTCTTTTCAATAGGTGCGTTCACACCGGAGTACTTTGGTGTACTTTTCCCACAATAGTTCATCAGAACTACGATATATTTGCGTTCACACCAAAAAGCCCCAGGAACTAAAGTAGCTCAAATGAGTTCGTCCGACCCGCTTTTCAGTCCCTACTACAGAGCAGGGTCTGTTGTGGGAGAAAGTAGTTCGTACGTCTGATTGGCTGTGCGGAATGCAAACCACGCCCGTTTGACTCTGATTTTTTTTTTGGAAGCGGCCATTGTATTTGCTCGTTTACCCGAAGAGATTACTTTTGTGAAAGCAGTTATTATAGCAACACTAAATAAATCATCGGAGCGGTGGAATTGATGAGGATGTCTCGGCGCTTCTGGCGATTTACTCGGAGGACGCGAAGCGCGGCATTCAGAAGCTTCTACTGAATGCAGTTTCCGTGGCTCAGCAAAGTTAGCAGACCTGGCAAAGTCATGTCGGGACGACTACCAAGGTAAAATAAAATACATGCACTGCACTGTTTTAATCTGCACAATACTGGTCTTAGATGTACTTTTATTTGCTCAGTAGATCGAGCTAGCCATGCTAGAACTTGCTAACGTTAGGTCCAAGCTGGCTAACAACATCTAGCTCGCTAGCTATTCTCAGCCGTGCCCGCTATAAACACGTATTGACTTGTGAATAAGTGTGCATTGTTCTGTAATTTGCTTCACTAACTCATGGCACTAATCGTGTGTTTCAGGCGAGGTGTTTCTCTCAGGATTAGAAACTAGTTTTCCCCTCCGGGATAAAACGATAATATAACGTTAGCAATTAGCATGCTAGCTGGACCTCTGTGGCTACACTGAATGCATAGAGGTAAACAATAGATTGTAGTTGCTATAATTTCAAGTAATTTGCAACATTCATTCTACATGTTAATGGTAAAAGCTTAAACAGTTGATTACCTGCATGCCACAAAGACTGATGTTCTAATATTTTTGCACATTTAAGTAGAAATGTAATTGAAATTCTATTTACTGCTTAAACATTGTTCCTTGTATTATCCTAAATAGTTTGACCTTGTTTCCTCAGAAGGCTTCTCAGACTACATGGAGGATCCCTTAGAGAAACACAGTTTCCACGTTCAGTTCCCCCCCGCTGAGAGTAGGCAGCTCCACACCCTGTGCCCGGTCAGCGGACACCATCAGGACTACCATCCTGACCGCTGCTGCCATACTGCAGCAAACAGGAGGGAACGGAGGTGAAAACACACTTTATACATTTAGATATGTGGAGCACAAAGAAAAGCATTGCTAAAAAACATTTAGCAGCTAAACTGTGGATAACAAGTAAACCACATTGGTTTGTTATTCAATATTCAAAAGCTTTTTGAATCATTACATGTCACTTGTTAGACGCTTTTATCCAAAGCTTACATACTCAATACTGTGGGCAATCCCCACAGGAGCACTTTGGAGTGAAGTGTCTCAGGGACACAACGACATGCTGACTGCAGTGGGGTTTGAACCTGTGCTCCCCTGATCCGAACACCAATGCACTTATCCACTGCGCAACACGCCTCCCTATCATGTCCTGAGAGCCCTCCATCCCCCAATTGCTAGTGCCTTCACCATTTAAAATGTTAATAGTCAAATCAAAGGTGTTCCCCGTGTTCCTCCTGTTGTGTGCCTGCAGAGACAGATTTGGACAATGTTGTCTCGTTGTTGCGATTAAACTGATCTTGTATCTTGCATATTTCACCTTAGGAAAGTGGGCACGCGATGACAGCTTCCTTGACACCATCATGGCGATGGACCGCCGTGCCATGGTCAGCAAGGAGAATGAGGACCTGCGTGCCAAGGAGATGCACGACGAACGGTTGCTGCATTCACACAAGGCCCAGGAATCGAGGTGGAGCAACAAAATACCTTTCAGGCTGGGCTTCTGGCAGTGCTAAGAGAGCTGATTAAATCCAACAGGCCTTCAATACAAAAATTAAGAAAAACTTGTCGTCGATAAACTGTACAATGACTTGTTGGGAGGCGTGTTGTGCAGTGGTCTGGTGCGTTGGTGTTCGGATCAGGGGAGCACAGGTTCAAACCCCACTGCAGTCAGGATGTCGTTGTGTCCCTGGGCAAGACACTTCACCCCAAATTGCCTACACCTGGGACAGTTCATTTTGTATTATTGTGATTATATATATATGCCACTGTTATTAATACTGACACCTAATTTTGCACTAAGGTGTGTCTGCTGCTGAGCCTACCTATTATTATTATATATATATATATATATATATATATATTGCCACTGTTATTATATTGTTTTGATACTACTGACACTTATTGATCTGCTTCTGATAAATAAAAGAGAACCTACATGCACGGCACTAGCATCATGACTGTCTTTGTTTAAACCAGCAGCAGTGCAGCGGTACACAGACTAACCTGTGTGTGTGTAAAGTAGTTCTTCAGGTGTGCATGCTTAACATGTATGTATTTATCACAGTAAAGATGGTATACAAAAGCTTTTTAAAGAGCTTTCAACCTCATCCCATTGTCTTTAACACACATTTAACATAATATACTCATATTAATATCCAAATATACAGTATGAGTACTGTTTTGATACTGACATTTCATCTTTGCACTAAGATGTGTCTGCACTATTGTAATTGTGTCTGTTGACTGTGGTAAATAAAAGAGAGAACCAAATGCACAGTACAAAAGATCAGCTTTATTGTCAATTTACAATTTCCATGCTGTTCAGATGCCTCAAGGGCTGTGCGCGTGTCTTGCCCCGTGGCGATTTGTTTAGGTTGCGTCTCCCCAATGGTTGCTTCCAGGCGAATACAGAGGAGTTGAAAAGATCCACTTTGATCCACTGCACATTGGTGTGCACCAGGCCGAGGTTCTATTGTTCACCCAGAGAGAGCGCGGGACACGACGCGTTCCGTAGTATTCGCATATCTGGAATACATACAAAGACACAAATTAGCCCTACATAACTCCATAAATCCTACATTAGATAGTATTAATGTGATTTAATGAACGTACCATTGCTGTTCTTTGGGCGTGATAACGGTCATCATCCTCAGCTATCGAAACATGTCCATAGCGTGTGCTTTTCGTGGTCCAATCCTTTTATTAAGGCTTCTTAACCGCCTTCGCCTCCGACTCAGCATTTCTATTGCATTTGAATGGTCGATCTGTATTTTTATTTGTGGCTGAGTTATTGGCTTAAATAACTCAGTTACGAAGCTGTATAACACGACCACCATAACGTCAACTCCATACCGTGTCTGAGGTCGGAAGGTAAACAGAAGCATACAGCGGAAGCGGAAGCTTTTCTTCTTCTTCTCTCGGTTTTTTGGCGAATTGCAACTTTAAGGTGCATACCGCCACCTACTGTACTCGCCGTGAAGTTGTTTGCGGCCTGCCAGTAAACCCAAAGCAGAAGAAGAATAAGTGACGTCAGCGGCTCATTTGCCTAATCCACCCCCAGGAACTCATTTTGGTGTGAACGCGATATGCTTTAGTTCGTCAGAACTAAAAGAACTCTCATGAACTAAAGTTCTCATGAACTACTGTGGGAAAAGTACTTGGTGTGAACGCGCCTAAGGAGGAGTAAAACATAGAAGGAACACAATCTGAAGTTGTGTAATTGATACGGTTTTTACTCAGTCCTCACACACCACCTCGAGGTACCGACAAACTCCCTTCTTTCTATACTACCTCCATTCATCAATTTTACACCATTTAACTTTCCCCTGTTAGTTTCTCCCTTTAGACTTTGATCACAGACCTTAATGAACACACCTCTGAAACCTTGGGATTCAATACCCGTAAAGCACTGCTGCCGTATTTCAGATCAATCGATCACGGCGACCTCCAATATGACCCAGAATTCAGCAACAGAGTTACCTAGGTGCGACTTACCCGCTGTTCTCTCTGGGAGACTGCAGACTCCGTCAGGGATCGATCCTCAGCCAAGGAGACAGGACGCTGGAATCAGTCTGGACTCAGGACTCAAGCTATGTGGGAACAGGTTACATTTCCGTCTCATTTGTCACTTATCCAGCAATAATCAGAAGGGCTACGTGAACTTTAGTTTCCTCTCACAAGTGTGAACAGGTCGTTTTATTTAAAGTTTCACAAGTTATAACACCACACACTATAATGAACTGCGTTTAGCTCAGATATAGATGATATCTGCTCCGTCTAGGTTTGCCCCACTACTAGTTAGTATCGGGGGTTCTTCAGTCTTCTGCAAGAAGAACTGAGTTCAAGAGGAACTGATTTCAAATGTTCTTCAGTCTCCTTATATCCTCTTTGTTCACGTGGTTTGTCACATCAGGTGTCCTTCTTTGTTGCTTTATGGTTAAATGTTCACTTCCCGCAAGGAAGTGCATAACAGATGTTCATCTCCTCGAAAGAGGAAGTGCGTACTTTGCTACATAGGTCTTTACAAGTACCCACTCTCTGATAAAAACACTTCTGACAGTAAAGACACAATCAGTGAGCCAGATTTAAAACAGCAACCCTTAAACCCAGGACAGGAAGTGATCTCCTCCTACAGAGGACACAGAGACGCTGAGGAGTCATCTAACACTAACCCAAACCCAGCGTAGAGAGGTTCAGTGAATGTGGTTCTGATGGTGTGGAGGTGGGTCAGTGTGTCAGAGGAGACTCTGTAGAAGGAGAGAGAGCCAGCAGGATGATCCAGATACACTGCTACTCTACGAGAGGAGGAGGAGGAGGAGGAGGAGAAGGAGGAGGAGGAGGAGGATGAGGAGGAGGAGATGCTTGTTACTCTCATATTGTGCATGACAGAGTAACCTCTATGAGAGCATCTCAGACTCCAGGACTGATCATTCCATCCAAACACACAGTCCCCTCCGCCTCCTCTCCTGCTGATTCCTCTGTAAGTCACTGCTATATGAACCCCTCCTCTCCTCTTGACCTCCCAGTAACAGCGACCAGTCAGAGCTTCTCTGCACATCAGCTGAGGATAGTACTCAAACCTCTCTGGATGATCAGGATATGGCTGCTTCTCTATCACACCTGTCACCTTCCTGTTGTCCTCAGACAGTTTGAGGTATCTGCTCACTGTGTTTGAGTCCAGGGTGAGTCCACAGGAATCTGAGGAGAGACACAGACAGCAGTTTATCACCAGACTCACCTGAAGGCTTTCCTCTCTGTTAGTGATCTTTCTATAACAGCGCTCTATAAGAGTCATGTATTATTATTATAAAGTTTAAAGGTGATGCAGCTAGTTCAGCAGGTTCTGACCCAGTTGCTGAAAGACTCCAGCTGCACATGTTCAAGTGACATGCTTCAATCACTTTGAGCACACCATCACTAGAGACCTGATCTAAGGGGTAACACTCTGCTCTCTCTCTCTCTCTCTCTCTCTCTCCTCTCTCTCTCTCTCTCTCTCTCTCTCTCCTCTCTCTCTCTCTCTCTCTCTCTCTCTCTCTCTCTCTCTCTCTCTCTCCCCCTCTTTTCTTGATGACGGTATCGCCTCAAGAAACACATCACTGCATTTAGGCCCCGCTCACACGGGACCGTTTGCGTTTATGCACAGTATGCGTATTCAAAAAAGTCTTCCGTTCACATGCATTTGTTTCATTTAACGTGTCTGTTCAAACGAGGCCGCTGGAAACGCTGTAGTACATATGCTGGGACTGTAAGTGGCGCTGTAACTTCCGCCAAAATACACCAAAAGCCGCGAAGAAGAGCAACCGAGCAGCCCCGCAGCAATGTTGCCATGGCTACCCTTCTGTTTATGCCCCGAAACTGAAACTGAAACTGAAAGAAACTGAAAGAAACCGAATCTGTGGATATTGCATCCCGACCAAGAAGCATGTCTCCGTGGAGAGGACGGCTCAGAAAGAGAGAGATATTCTCTACAAACACCAGGTGAGATCCTCCTTTGTCAATATAATGGATCAATGCATGAAATCTGACTCTGTTTATTTTGTTTAAGGAGTATATTGGGCGTTAACAATTCTGGTTTGCCTTTTATAATATTATTTCATTCAAGAACCCCTTGTGCGTTTAATTAACACAGCTATTTTTGATAGTTGCTACAGCAGTGAGCAGGAGAGGCGGGGAGAGGCGGGGCTATCGTTATTTTTTCAGGAAATATTTGTATAGAGGTGATTACACGGACTCGGTTGACCCCCCAGAGCGTTTCGTTTGCAAATCTATCCACCTTGGGACCCGTTATTGTTTGTGGGGTCAGTTTCTATCGGCCTCGTGTAAATAATAGGGCTATACGCAAGCGAAACTATGCAGATACAAGCAGTTTTCTCCTCGTGTAAACGGCGCCTTAAGCACCAAGACCAAAGTGGCTAAAAAAAGGAGTCGTAAATAATGATCATACAACACCGGGTGCAGGTGCAGCTATTTTATTCTCCCCTCTTTGAAATATAAAGATAATATCCAGCACAGAGGAAGTGAAGGGTAGAGTTATTCTAGTGAGAGCTGGAATAGATGAGTTTCTGATTAGCTTTATTAATGTGCACCAAACCAAGGCTCTGAGCGTGAAGAGATCTTTAAAGTATTGGAAGAGAGAATAAGTGATATTGGTCAAGGGGAGTTTATTGTTTTGGGCGGAGACTGGAATTGTTGCACTGACTTGACTTTGGATAGGACTGGAGTTGAGCCACATCTTCAGTCTTCCTCTGTATTGTCTCATGTTCTAAAGAAAAGTGATTTAGTGGATGTGTGGAGGAGGATGCATCCTACATGCAAGCAATACACATGGGTTCAAATATCAGATGGTAGAGTTAGTGCAGCCAGAGTGGACAGGTTTGATTTACCCAAGGCCTTTTCTGCTAGGGTTACAAACTGTCAGATCATCCCTGTGGCTTTCACAGACCATCATTTAGTTTTGATGGAGCTGATCTTATCTTCCAACGGAAAACCCAGATCTTTTTGGCATTTTAATAATAGATTGTTACAGGATTTGAATTTCTGTGAACATTTTAAAATGTGTTGGGCTTACTGGAGATCTAGGAAAGATGGCTTGTCTTCCCTTACTCAGTGGTGGGAGGTGACCACGGAGCCGGCTGAGATGAGGAAGCATGCAGAAGATTTCTACACAGATTTGTTCAAGGCTGATGAATGTGATGTGGACTCTGCTGCAGAGCTTCTGGAGGGACTTCCTCATCTGAGCTCAGAGGGACAGAACACGCTCAGCTCTGTGATGTGGACTCTGCTGCAGAGCTTCTGCAGGGACTTCCTCATCTGAGCTCAGAGGGACAGAACACGCTCAGCTCTGTGATGTGGACTCTGCTGCAGAGCTTCTGGAGGGACTTCCTCATCTGAGCTCAGAGGGACAGAACACACTCAGCTCTCTGATGTGGACTCTGCTGCAGAGCTTCTGCAGGGACTTCCTCATCTGAGCTCAGAGGGACAGAACACGCTCAGCTCTGTGATGTGGACTCTGCTGCAGAGCTTCTGGAGGGACTTCCTCATCTGAGCTCAGAGGGACAGAACACGCTCAGCTCTGTGATGTGGACTCTGCTGCAGAGCTTCTGCAGGGACTTCCTCAGCTGAGCTCAGAGGGACAGAACATGCTCAGCTCTGAACTGACTCATGACGAACTAACTGCCGCTGTGTCTCAGATGGCGTCAGGAAAGGCTCCTGGAATAGATGGATTATCATCCGACTTTTTTAAGCATTTTTCGAGTCTTATGGGACAGGACATTTTGGATGTTTTTAAAGAATGTGTTGAAAAGGGGATGCTCCCAGCTTCCTCCAGGCGGGCAGTTCTCTCTCTGCTTCCTAAAAAGGGAGATTTGACCTCTTTAAAAAACTGGAGACCAGTGGCTCTTTTATGTACGGACTACAAAATCCTCTCAAAGGTTTTATCAAACAGACTAAAACTGTTTATTGGTCAGTGAATTGTTGTGGATCAATCATACTGTGTGCCAGATAGGTCTATGCTTGATAGTTTGTTTTGAATGAGGGATGTGTTTGACAATGTAAATTGTATAATATCAATGCTGGCATCATATCTATTGACCAAGAGAAGACAATTTTCTCTTTACCACACTGCAGGCTTTTGGTGTTGGGGAGGGGTTCCTGTCCTGGGTAAGGATTCTGTATCATGAAGCGTTTTGTGTAATAAAAGTGGGGGGAGGGTTGAGTGTCCCTGTGCCGGTTGGGAGGGGGATCAGGCAGGGCTGTCCTATCTCAGGTCAGCTTTACAGTATTGCCATTGAGCCTCTTCTCTGCAGGTTGAGGAGCCGACTGAGGGGTCTCTGTCTACCAGAGATGTCTCACAGCCCTCCTGTTGTTGTGTCAGCATATGCAGATGATATTAATATCATTATCCAGGGTCACACAGATGTTCAGGAACTGAAAGAAAGCCTTGCCCTTTACGAAAAAGCATCTTCAGCCAGGGTCAACTGGGGAAAGAGCGAGGCTGTTTTAGTGGGCCAGTGGAGAGTAGGGGACATTCCTAGTCTTCCTGGCGGCATCAGGTGGGGTAGACGAGGGATTAAAGTCCTAGGGGTGCAGTTAGGGACTGAGGAGTTTCAAAAACAGAACTGGGAGGGAGTGCTTGACAAGGTGGAAGCTAAGTTGTCTAAATGGGAATGGTTGCTACCTCAGCTGTCATACAGGGGAAGAGCTCTGATTGTGAATAATCTCGTTGCCTCTTCTCTTTGGCACAAGCTCATAGTGTTGGCACCACCACCAGGGCTGGTGAAAGAACTACAGCGGTGCCTTGTAAACTTTTTCTGGTCTGGACAACACTGGCTGAAGGCTTCGGCCCTGTATCTCCCTGTGGCAGAGGGAGGGCAAGGGCTGATAGACATCCAGTCCAGAACAGCTGCTTTCAGACTGCAGCCTGCTCAGAGACTGCTGTACGGCAGCGGGCAGCGCTGGTTGGATCCTGCTCGGCTACTCCTCAGGAAGGCTGGAAGGCTTGGGATGGATAAACACCTTTTCCTAATCAGGACGACTGAAGCTGACCTGACGGGACTTACATCCTTCTACAGATCAGTTCTTAACGCCTGGCAGACACTAAAGGTCACACGGACCCCGGACCAGAGACCGGGAATGTGGTTGTTCGAGGAGCCACTCCAAAAGAATGACCTCTTCCCAACTGCAACCTTTTCATCTGTAGCTTTGGGAACAAAGTTTGTTGAGGTTGGCATCACTAAGCTGGGTCATCTAACAAGAACATCAAACTCTTTGTAACACCATAAACATCAGGTCTTCCAGAGTGCTACAGAGGATCGTTGAAGACATCATGCAGTCCCTGTCGGCGCCAGAGAGGGCATTCATTGAGGATCCTGCTAGATTGGACACTTGGAAAGAGGAAAATGACTATGAGTTTCCCTCACTCACCGTTAGTCCTGCTGTCGGAGAGTGGCAAGAGGAGCGTGGAAAACTTCTCTCGCTAAAAACTCCAATTCTGGGCAGTTTCAGTTCCTGTGGGAAAAAGCAGCTGTACCAGTGCTGTGTCAAGACTCTTAACATCCGTCTTCTGGCTGAGGTCAAGGAGTCAAGGTGGAACGAGTTGTTCCCTTCAGACTTTACCCCTAAAGGCTGGTGGAGGGTCCTGTATAAGCGTCCTGTTGAAAAACGGATGGCTGAACTCCAGTGGAGGATTATACATGGAGCTTTAGCTACAAACAGACACCGAGCTCACCTTGACCCAAGTGCTGGGGAGGAGTGCCCTTTTGGCCAGCAGAGTGAAACAGTTGAGCACCTGGTAGTTTCTTGCACGCGGCTAGCAGGCTCATTTGGGCTACTGAAAGGATGGGTGGAAGGGTTAGGGGAAGTGTTTTCACTTCCACTCTTTGTATATGGGCCTAAATATGTGGCAAAAAAAGGAGTAACTCTCACTCTGATTAATGCTATCTTTGCAACTGCTAAGCTAGCAATTTGGAGGAGCAGGAAGAACCAGATGCTAGGGCAGATGTTGTTCAGAGTGTGAAGGGTTTGGTGGCTGCTCGGCTAAAAGTAGAACATGCCTTTTACAGTGTGACCAACAACCTGCCTGCTTTCAGGACTCTTTGGGGGGTCAATCACGTTCTATGTACGGCAAGGGAAGATGGTACACTGGAGCTGAATAAAAAAAAAAAATTGGTTTTCTATGTGTGAGCTATGATATGAATATTTAAAAAAAAAAAGTGTCATGAATGTGATGATTTTGTAAGTTTTTATTTAAAATGACTTAAATAAAGGTTTTATTAAAAGTCAAAAGTCTCTCTCTCTCTCTCTCTCGGAAATAATACCATAAATAAAATGTTACCTCTCATTTATCATATATGAAGATCTTAAATCTTAGATCTTTAAGTGAAACCTATCATGCTATATTTAAATTATATATTGTAGGGCCATACCTATATAAGGTATATTTATACGTTTCTGTTTTCAAAATACCAAACAGATCATGCATTTCGCTCTATGTGCTGTTTGCTGTCTACGGGTCTGATTCTGCTGACCACGCCCCCCTGCAGGAGAGGTGAGCCGTGCTCTGATCAGCTGCTGGGCTGTCAGAAGAGGGGGAGAAAAAGAGATCTCCGTCCTCCGTGTTTTATTATATAGAGTCGTTATTCATTTGTTTTAAAGCTCAATAAATAACAAAGAAGACCTTTGACCGGCACTTTTCTAATTTTGTCCGGAAGATTTAAACTTTAACGGACATCTTGACCGGTGAAAGAAACTGAAACTGAAACTCTGCCGCACGGTCCTCTCGTTCCTTGGAAGAGGCGGAGAGGTGGGTGTTTGTCATCTGCTGGTGGACTAACCGGAGAGAATTACAGTGCTTGCCTCGACGGGGAGGGATTGCATTGAATTAAAGCAGCGGGAGCAAACGCTTGCCTCGGGGAGGGAGAAAGAAAGCCACAGCGGAGAATAAACAGAAGGGTAACCATGGTAACTATGGGCGGGAAGTCTTCTTCGCTGCTTTTGTGGCAGACTACAGCGCCACTTACAGGCCTGGCATATGTACTACAGCGTCTCCAGTACAATAGCCATAGCGCCACCGTCCTGACGTCAGGACAGTGTTCAAATCTGGATCAGTTTTTATCAGATCCGTTGCAGCCCTTTTTTTAGAGATTTGGGTATGGAGGAAAATAGAGAGGGTTGTGTTTTCTGACACTTGGTGAGTTCCCTGGAACACCGGGGACACATATTCATATATAAAAGACGTACAAAAGTGCATTTTGCATGATAGGTCCCCTTTAAATCTTAAAATGATTTAACAAACGCCTGTTTGAGACTCCTCAGTGTACACAAAAACATAACTTGGAGAAATAAATAAATACTGATATGTTATTTAAGAGCACCTCGTGTGTACCATGTTGTCTTAATGTTATGACTTGTATTCTCATAAATGATGCGGTAAGCAGAAGGACAGAATTACGTCTCAACTGAGGCCGTTTTGCTTTTCTATAGGTAGTATAAATAAGAGCATGGTTTTATATACTATCATGTTTAATCATGTTTTATGCCGTTTGCCAAGACTTGATAAGTCGCTCGTAAAACACAGGTATGCAAAGTAAGAGAACACCATGTTGGTGAATTGTACAGAAACATTAGTTTGATTTCATTTAAGTGGTGGATAGAGTTGCTGCGGGGGATTGAGACGCACAGGCTGCAGTGGAGACGCAGCGCACAGCTGATTGACAGCTGGAACACAAACCACCAGATAGGTCTCCTGTCCCCGGTACAAACACACTGACACACTGACCGAGGAAGGTTATGTGTATTTTGTCATTAACTTTTTTCGGACCACTTATTTATTTATTTTGGTGACGATCCGACCTCCATGCTGCTACTCTGGTTCAAACTGCATCCACCAAACAATGTGATTTATCTCCACCTCCCCAAAAGAACCAAAATCTGACTCGGTGTGAGATGTCTTTTTTAGCTGTTCTGTCGTCATTCCCTGCGATCTTCTTCTGCAGTCAGTCTGAATGAATATTAATACGGGGCGTTTCTTTGACTATTTATAGGCAAATATGGGCGTTACGTGAAGCTCGCAAAAGCTGCGCCGCATTTCGAGTTGATTGTGATTTATAAAGGGAAACCGGCGTAGGACGTGCCGCACGCACAGCTTTATAAATGAGGCCCCTGGACCCACCTGAAGGCTTTACTCTCTGTTAGTGATCCTTTCTATAATAGCGCTATATAAGTGTCATGTATTATTATTATTATTATAGAGTTTAAAGGCGATGCATGCCAGTCATGTTTTAATGAATAAATACCACCTCCATCATCTTTGTCTTTAGAGAGAAGCTGACTGATCCACACTTACACTTCCTCACACCTGGTTTTAACCTCTGCTCTCCACCATGGTCCAGCCTGGAGGAAGAAACACAGTCAGGATGATGTTCTATCCAACATGAGTCCTAGCTGCTGGTACCTCGTGGAACAGAGGTTACTTTCTTAGAGCAAGCTTTTTTATTGTTATTTACTTTTTGTTGGCGTTTAGTGTCAAACATTGTCTCAGCATATTGTACATTGCATCTTTACATGAAGGACATACATCTGTTCATAGCTCTTTTCAGCAATATACACATGATGACACAAAAAACACAGAGGAGAAAGACATAAAGAAAGAAATGAAAATAAAATAGAACAACAGTGAACAATTAGGGAGTAGACATTTCTTTACAGCAGAGTTCTGGATCTGTGGAAACTAAGTCAGGCCTTTAGGGCTTTACAAAGTGAGTCCACTTCTCACAGGTTGGAGTAAATTGACCAATGTATGATTGACAGATGCTGTTATCTTTTCTATATTATAAATATCCATTGAGATGTCCATCCATCCATTTAGAGTCGGGCTATGCTTCGATAACCACTTCCTGGTTAATGCCTTTTCAGCAGAATGTTCAATAAGTATTTGTCCTTTCTCAAATTCCTAAAGTATAACATCTTGATCTCTAGAGGTATTATGTCTTTGAAAATGTCTTGTAAGGCGTTGTGTATCTCCTTCCAGTAGTCTTTGATACCTGGACAGTCCCAGAATACATGGAAGTGGTTTGCATTCTGGTTACCACAGTTCCTCCAACATATAGGGGGGGGGTCCTATCATAGTGGGACTTCTGAGAGGGCGGAATAAAATATCCTATCAGGTTCTTCCAGGTATATTCCCTCCAGTTCTGCCAGCTGGTACATTTCCATTGATATCTCCACATTGTTACCCATTCTTCTCCAGATATATGTATCCCTCCTTCCTGCTCCATCTTCTTTATTATGTAAGTGAGTGTTTTTTAAGGTTTGTCAATCCTTTGTATACACATGATACGGTTCTACCGTTAACATCTGCGTTATACGCTTTCCTAAACATTTCTATCAAACCTACACTTGCCTGACACTTTTTCCACTTTCAAATGAACATAATGCCGTACCTGAAGATATCCATAAAAGTCCTGTTTCTCCAAAGTGTATTTCTCTTTGAGGGTATCCAAACTGAGCAATGCTCCCCCTTTCATCAGCTTGCACAGAGCTGTTAGACCTTTTAGAGCCCAGTCCCTAAATCTAGTATCCAATCTGTTAGGCATGAAATCTGAGTCATATGCACACCATTTGAGAAAGATACTTTCATTCTCCAATTTATATTCTTTTATAATAGTTTTCCACATTTTAAGAGAACATTTCACCCATGGATTTTCAATAATGTTTATGAAATTGTGTAGGTTATTGTCAGCTATAATTGCCTGTATGGGAGTACACCTTCTGTTCTATATGTTTCCATTGAGCATCATATGCTGGGTTACTCCAGCATATCATTGTTCTTATCTGTGTTGTGAAATAGTAATCTCTGAGAGAGGGTAAACCCCATCCCCCTTCTTCTTTGGCCAGGTGTAAAGTTTTGAGACGAACCCTCGCTCTTTTACCTTCATATATATCTTGATATCATTTTATCTCATTCATTAAATTGACTTTGGTTGATCTCTTTAGGTAGGGTTTGGAATAGATATAATATTCTAGGTAGTATATCTTTTTTAACCCATTCAATTCTTGAAGAAATATTAAAGAAAGGAATTAGGTTCCATCTTGCTATATCTTCCTTCATTATGTTCTCTACAGGTAGGAAATTGCATTCGAATAATGTTGAAAGATCTTTAGGGATGTTAATGCCCAAATACTTGATGGATTTTGTGTGCCATATCAATGGGTATGTATTCCTAATTTCTTCAGGTGGATGGGACTTGTCTTCTGAAGGAAGTTTCTCCCTGATATTCCTCCCTCGCTCCTCTCCTCCCAGCGTCTCCCAGACAGACAGCTGCTCAGCCTCTCTCTCGGTGTGATCACGGTGACAGCAGTCCTCTGTCCTTCACGTCTCAGGATGCTTCCACAGCAGTCTGGTACAGCAGTCCTGGCTTGCGTATAATATCGTCTTTAGTTGAGTAGTTGCTTGTCCTCCCTGTGGCGGGGGGGATCTCAAGTGCCTCTTGTAGTAAACTCTTCACCAAGTCAACCATAGATGACCCCTCCACTCCCTCTGGGACATTATAAATCCTTATATTCTCCCGTCCGGATCTTCCTTCTTGGTCAGTCAGTTTATTTTCTTGCTGATTCATTACCTTTATCATCCTGCTCAGCACCTTCCACGTTTTCAATTCTCATTTCTGCCTCCTCTATTTTAACGTTGACGTTGGTAAGCTCAGATTTAATTTAGTTTATTTGTTGTTTTGTGTCTTTGCGAAAGTCCCGTATCTCCTCCAGAACTTTAGCTAAGTTAGCCAAGTGCAGCTCTGCGCTAGCTTCCTCATCATCGACCTGTGCAGGCGAGTTGTTCGTTGTTTTTTCTTCGTTGGTAGACTCTGAGCCAATGTTTTTCTTTTGTCCGTCCTTTCTTCCCATCTTCGCCCCGTTAACTATTTCTAATTTTACAGAGACATTTCTTATTTGGCAATTAAACGAGGCAAAATGAATCTCCTACCGGGGGAGAAGCTAGACTAGGCTGCCATTCGGTATGGTGACGTCACCGGAACCATGACCATCATTTTCAAGTCAATAAAATCATCTGAATTCATATCGGGAGTCTTAGTAGTTAGTTTGTTTATCATGTAGCCGTGTAATAAGCGGGATAATGTGCAGCAAGGCATCCCGTACACATTCAACTGCTAACAGCTAACTGCTAAAGGCTAACTGCTAACAGCTAACTGCTAACAGCTACCTGCTAACAGTTAACTGCTAAAGGCTAACTGCTAACAGCCAACTGCTAACAGCTACCTGCTTACAGTCAATGGCTAACAGCTAACGGCTTAGTTTACCAGCTCTCCTCCTGCTGATATCAACATGAATTTGATGTTCATGATGGCATTAAGAGGAGAAAAAAGGATGCGCACCTGGACGTGTCGATCATAAGTTTACGTAATAAAGAATCACAAAAAGTCAATCTCGGTTTCCCATCAGCGACTAGGTAATATGCTGATCATCGGCCAAAGCAGGCCAGTAAATAATCAAGATACAATTATAAAACATAACTGGTAGATTGTGTTGTAAGCCTGTAACCTCTGAACAGAGAATCTGAGTCCTGCGGTGAGTTTAGCTCTGTTAGCCGTTACCCGAACACAGTCAGAACTATCCAAACTGAACCACTGTTGATCACTTGCGTCCGTTATAGAGTAGAGTGGACTCAGCCGTCAATGAGGGTGTAAAAACTCAATGAAATATAATTTCAATAACTGTGTCATAAATGAGAAGAAGAACAGGACATTTGAGATATTAGAGACACCTTCAGTCTGTCTGTCCATACCTGAGTGTCTCCAGTCTCCAGAGTGGATCCTCACGTCCAGCAGACAGCAGCTTCTCTCCTGAGTCTCCTGGATGATTGTAGCTCAGGTCCAGTTCTCTCAGATGGGAGGTGTTGGAGCTCAGAGCTGAAGCCAGAGAAACACAGCCTTCCTCTGTGACCATACAGCCTGAGAGACTGGAACCAGGGAATACAGTAAACTCAGTGTTTTGATTATGTCAGCATGAAGATACAGATGTTGACCAACTTTATTAACATGAACCTGAAGCTGGATGAGCAGGTTTTAAATTAAAACTATCAACAACAAAAAAACCTGTGGTCTGACCTGAGAGTCTCCAGTTCACAGTGAGGACTCTTCAGTCCAGCACACAGCCGCTTCACTCCTGAATCCTGCATGTCGTTGTTACTCAGGTCCAGCTCTCTCAGATGGGAGGTGTTGGAGCTCAGAGCTGAAGCCAGAGAAACACAGCCTTCCTCTGTGACCATACAGCCTGAGAGACTGGAACCAGGGAATAGAGTAAACTCAGTGTTTTGATTATGTCAGCATGAAGATACAGATGTTGACCAACTTTATTAACATGAACCTGAAGCTGGATGAGCAGGTTTTAAATTAAAACTATCAACAACAAAAAAACCTGTGGTCTGACCTGAGAGTCTCCAGTTCACAGTGAGGACTCTCCAGTCCAGCAGACAGCCGCTTCACTCCTGAATCCTGCAGGTCGTTGTTACTCAGGTCCAGCTCTCTCAGACTAGAGGACTGGGAGCTGAGGACTGAGGACAGAGCTTCACAGCTTCTCTCTGACAGGTTACAGCCACTCAGTCTGGGGAAGAATTAGCAATGAACACAATTTATTTTATTTATCATTTTTAAAACTGATCAATGTTGTTTGTATCTCCACTTACAGAGCTTTCCTGGAGGCTTTGACCACTGGCAGCAGCCTCTGAAGAGCCTCCTCTGAAGCAGAGTATTTCTTCAGGTCAAAGACGTCCAGATCTTTTCCTGATGACAGTAAGATGAAGACCAGAGCTGACCACTGAGCAGGAGACAGTTTATCTGTGGAGAGACTTCCTGAACTCAGGTACTGTTGGATCTGCTCCTCTAGAGAACTATCATTCAGTTCATTCAGACAGTGGAACAGGTTGATGCTTCTCTCCGGGGACAGATCTTCATTTATCTTCTTCTTGATGTACTCAACTGTTTTCTGATTGATCTGTGAGCCACTTCCTGTTTCTGTCAGCAGGCCATGTAGGAGTTTCTGATTGGTCTGCAGTGAAAGACCCAGGAGGAAGCGAAGGAACAAGTCCAGGTGTCCGTTTGGACTCTGTAACGCCTTGTCCACAGCACTCTGGTAGAGATGTGTTAGTGTAGGTTTGACTTCAGAATGCTGGGAGGTTAGTGTACGTTTAGGTTTGAGGATTTTAAGCAGCAAGGAGGTTATTCGTGTAGGTTTGGGTCTGAACACTTCAGACTGCTGGGAGGTTGTTGGTTCTTCTGACAGCAGGTTGACTCCAGAGTTGATGAAGGTCAGATGGACATGAAGAGCAGCCAGAAACTCCTGAACGCTCAGATGGACGAAGCAGAACACTGTGTCCTTGTACAGTCCTCTCTCCTCTCTAAAGACCTGTGTGAACACTCCTGAGTACACTGATGCTTCTGTGATATCAATGCCACAGTCTGTCAGGTCGTGATCATAGAAGATCAGGTTGCCTTTCTGCAGCTGCTCAAAAGCCAGTTTTCCCAGAGCCTCCATCATCTTCCTGCTCTCTGGACTCCAGTGTGGATGTCCCTCAGTTTTTCCATGATACTTGACGTTCCTCACTTTGGATAGAATCACCAGGAAGTGGATGTACATCTCAGTCAGGGTCTTGGGCAGCTCTCCTCCCTCTCTGGTTTTCAACATGTCCTCCAGAACTGAAGCAGAGATCCAGCAGAAGACTGGGATGTGGCACATGATGTGGAGGCTTCGTGAAGTCTTGATGTGGGAGATGATGGTGCCGGCCTGCTCCTGATCTCTAAATCTCTTCCTGAAGTACTCCTCCTTCTGTGGGTCAGTGAACCCTCGGACCTCTGTCACCATGTCCACACACTCAGGAGGGATCTGATTGGCTGCTGCAGGTCGTGTGGTTATCCAGAGGCGAGCAGAGGGAAGCAGCTTCCCCCTGATGAGGTTTGTCAGCAGCACATCCATTGAGGTGGACTCTGTGACATCAGTCAGGATCTCATTGTTGTGGAAGTCCAGAGGAAGTCGACACTCATCCAGACCGTCAAAGATGAACACAACCGAGAACTGACCAAACCTGCAGATTCCTGCGTCTCTGGTTTCAGCGAAGAAGTGATGAACAAGTTCCACCAAGCTGTAATTTTTCTTCAGCCTATTCAGCTCTCTGAAAGGTAATGGAAATGTGAACTGGATGTCCTGGTTGGCTTTGCCTTCAGCCCAGTCCAAAGTGAACTTCTGTGTTAAGACTGTTTTCCCGATGCCAGCCACTCCCTTTGTCATCACTCTGATTGGTGCATCTCTTCCAGGTGAGGCTTTAAAGAGTTCTTCTTGTCTGATGATTGTTTCTGGTCTGTCTGGTTTCCTGGATGCTGTTTCAATCTGTCTGACCTCATGCTCATCAGCTGTAGTTTCTCCCTTGGTGATGTGGATCTCCGTGTAGATTTCATTTAGAGGTCTTGAATTACCCGTTTCCATGATTTTCTCAATTCTTTTCTCCAGGTTTAATTTGAGCGTCCTTTGGCACTGAGTAAGAATCTCTGAATGAACAAAAATAAAATCACAATTGAGACAATACTCAAATTAACATAAAAGATCCATCACAATATTTGTTCCTAACTTTACACATTTCTGAAAGGATAGTAGGATATTTGTTGTCGGATCGAAGCTGCATCTCAATCATCTGTAGCTATCCAAAAATATTGTTCCTTCTTTCTATTATTTCCCACTCTGGTGAACAATCTGTTGTCCCCAGAGAACCATGACCTTAAACCTGACCGACTCTTATTCCTGCTGCTGGAAGACGAGGCACGACCCTGGCAGATAGACCTCTGAGGATGTGGACTCAGCTGTCACTCCAGTTATACAGGAAGTGGATTGCTCTTAGTAATTGTCCCAATACTCCGTAATCCTGCAATAGCCTACTATCAACAAGACGCCCTGGGGGTCACAGTAATAATCTTTCCCTTCGTCCATAAAACAGGGTGGATGGAAAACTCTTTTGACCCCTCCTAGCATATGTGGAGCCCCAGCCTAACTCAGTGTAAGAAAACGTTTTTAGAGAGTACTTGTCCATGGACAAGTGAGTTTGGCAATTTACTCCGAATACATTTTTCACTTGTCCAATCTGGACTTGCCTGTTTTTTTTTGTTCTAAAATTATTTTACATACCCCTTTTCAGGCCCATCAGTACATCAATTGTAGGGTCCCCTTTCAAGCCCTTAATCCACTATTTTCTGACAGAATTTTTTTCAATTTTTTTCCTTGCTAACTGAACACACCATTTCACCATCGACATTTTTTAATTGTTTTTAAAGAAAAAGCCCTGACAAAACAGCAGGGCTCTCAGTATTAACTAAAGACAAAAAGACAGCAACAGCAGACATGAAATCTTTGCTGAGCCTAAAGATAATCATAAATAAATAACAGTGAAAATAAATATATTGCAATGTGCAGAACAGCAGCATCCAACCGTCTCTAATACTTGGATATTACATGTCACTGCATGCATGCACGGATCACCTGTAGCGCGGAGATCATCATATCATTCTGTTTTGTATTACTTGACAAAAACAAATAAAAAATAAAAAACGGCTTGTTCGCAGGCGCGAGCCGGCTCCCTTCGTTCACTTAAAAGAGCCGGCTCTTGTTTGAACAACAATAGCGGACACGGACAATTTAAGAATGAGTTCTGCCTTTTGTAAGCTGAATTTATAAATAATTTGAATAAATATGGGGAAAAACGTCACTTGTCGGTCGGACACGTCAATGGAAAGATGTACTTGTCCAATATTGTAAATAACACGCCGGACGATCAGACGTGTGCTTTTTCACACACTGCTAACTACTGAACGTATCCCCAGCTGGTGCCCTGACCCAGAGACTGCAAGAGAGCAAGTTACACTGAACTGTTGGTTGATGCGTCGGCAGAGAGAACAGGGACAGCTTTCATCTCCATGAACCTCAAAGGTGACCTGGGTAACTCTGGAAAAGGAGAGAGTCTAATCCCTATCCAGGAGTTTCTTTCCAGAGCCGGTTCAATGTGTAGAGGTGAGCCCAACTTTGTCTAGTTGGTCCTGCTCCACCTCCCACACCAACACCGGATCCGTCCCCAGCAGAGAGGTGACGGCTGTTTGAAGTTTGTATACCATGTTCCTCTCCTTCACCTACAATCCAACTGGCATTGATTAGACCCTTAGACCCAGTGGTGTGTAGACCCCGGTGCCTGGCTGCAGGATGAGGACCTGGTCTGCCTAATAGAGTTGATTTTTTTCTAAGTAGCTGATCTAAAAAGTGACCCTGACAGAAACTATTGACCCTGACCACTGAGCTTTCAGGGCCATGGGGGTACCTAATCCCTGACACCATGAGCAGGGGGTGTTTCTCTGTGTGGTATATCAGGAGGACACATCCAATTCATGTTATCATTGTGATTTACCTGACCTCAGGTTCCCTGTTTGTAAAACTGTTCGTTAACTAATGACTTACCTGTCGGTTCTGATGTGATTTCTGATAATTTCTCCTCCAGAAGATTCTGATTCATCTCCTTCAAAACGTTTCTGGTCACTTTAATAGTGTTAATGCAGTAGTTCAGAAACATATGGTCCACAGTTTGTGTCCGACATGCATCCTCTAGTCGACTCTTTGGGATTCCTTCAAATCCTAGGACCTTCTCCTGCAGGAGCCACTTGAATTCTTCAAAGTCAACTTTCCCCAAACGTTCTAAAGTACTGAAGAGGATCTTTTTCAGTGACGCCATATTTTCTCCCTGCAGAGATCCAAAAGATACCAACAGAAAATATTATATAATCTTACATCTGAAATAACATGGGTTCATGCAAAAAAATACTTTCTTCGTTTTTCAGCAATAATACTATTTATTTTAAGGCAAATAAACTACTACTCCAGGTCCAGCTACAGGTCCAGGTCCAGGTCCAGGTCCAGGTCCAGGTCCAGCTTCAGGTCCAGCTTCAGGTCCAGCTTCAGGTCCAGGTCCAGGTCCAGGTCCAGGTCCAGGTCCAGGTCCAGGTCCAGGTCCAGGTCCAGCAGAGTGTGTGTCCTCTGGTCTGGAACACAACACAGAGCTTTGTGTGAATAATGAGTGCTGAGCTGTGACATGGAGAAGAGTCATGGACAGTTGGAGATCTCACCTCTGAGCTTTAGTCTGGCTGTCATGTTCCCCACACAGAGAGGGGGGGGCTCCCTCCTCTCGGTCCTCACACTGATCCATAGCAGAGCCTCCACCTTCACACAAACACAACAACATGCTCATCACAACAAGAACATCACAGGACACATTAGTGCCCCTCCTCTCAGATGTCCCACAGCCCCAGGCCCACACAGAAACTCAGTTTGTTGACCGCTAAACATGATTTTGTGATTGTCAAGACTTCTTACAGCACACCCAGAAGTGACCAAATGTCTCAGTTTTAAACATGTGGTTAACTTTGTTAATTGAAACAAAACTAAACACATAGGCAACAAAACCACTTGGTTATGTTTAGAAAAAAAGATAACGGATTCGCCTAAAATGTGTAAGTTTGTTACTCTATGCATTCAAACTTTAATCAAGTTAATCAACTCTCACCGTGTCTCCTTCCTGAGTCGGTGACTCCCACTGCATTGCTACACAGAAGTTTCCCCCACATTTTCCACTTCAAAAAGGCGTTGCTAGGACTTAGTCTGGGCATTGATGCTTGGGTAGCCTCAGGACTGGACCCTCATGTAAGGTTTGGAGCAGTTTAGACAATGTTTAGTTGACAAATTTAAATTGTAAAAAATGGTTTGTTCTCTTTTGACCGACAAACTTGTCGTTTGAGCTACAGACTATTAATTTGCAAATTAGAGTTACATTAGCTTTACATTTGAAATTGGGTTATTCCATCTGTATTATTTTTTATTTCCGACCTACTCTCCAGGAAGAGTTTGTATTTGTTTGCTTTTGCCCGTTTCTAATGCTATTCAACACAAATGTACAAATGTTCTGTACGTTCTATTAAAGGTCATGAGTTGTGACGTGTGTACGCAGTTTAGCGTTTGTAGCTTATTCTAGATCATCGTAAATTCAGAAAATGTAATCGGCCACGCCCACATTATTACATCACCACGATACATGAGATCTCATTTAATACTCGCCCCCAGAGCATGTGTTTACAATTTTGTTAATTTCTGTTAGAAAGTTACACATTTGTGTTGATCTTAGCGTCCCCTCTGGGTCCGTATCAAGTTTGAACATATCCAATGAGTTATGAGCATTTATTTCCAGGCCTCGGCTTTTGTGAAGACATTTCAATTCATGGCGGACATGTTTTTTGACTGATCTTGCTCATTTTGAAGAGTAATGTGTATGACTGTCCCCAGATGCTTTATACAAAGTATTGTGTTGACAGATTCAAAATGGAAAAGTTTGTAGTCATTAAACTGCTTTCACATTATGCTAATGAGCAACACATCTGAGTGGGCAGAGCCTGGTAGTTCTTTTTGTAAAGCGTCTTCAGCTCAATGTCTGTACCACATTTCAAGTCAATCAGACTTTTGGTGCGAGTTGTGTGACCTTTCAAAGATTCTACCTAGGTGGCGCTAGAGAGCCTGCTGGTCATGTCAGAATGCATTCACTACAGGACCTCAGAACTTTTAACATTCCTGACATCTGTGCAATGTTTTACAACTCTCTGAGCATGATCAGTGCCTTAAAAACGGGCTTTACCTGCAGGAAAATAATAATGCAAGAACAGCAGACAGAGCCAACTGTGCTCGGACCCAGCCAGCACTGGAAGTCAGAATCAAACATCCACAAACATTTCAATTGAGAATGCAGTTTGGATGTATAGGAACATATTTGTTGAGGCTGATTTTGTATAAACCTTCAAATGTAATATATTCTCTGAATTGCTTTTCCTGCTAATGTGCTGTACAGCCCACCAACATGAATATATTATTATCAACATAATACCAAGTATTGTTATTCTTAGTTATCATTATAGTAGTTCCATCGATGCTCAAATGTTTAATCCCAGACTTTAAAAATACATCTGAAACATGTAAGTGCATTAACAGCCACATGTTTCTAATGTTGGTTATTACAGTCTTTATATAAGTGACGACTGAAGCTAAGCAGAGACACATAGATACATGTTTACATGTTTCTTCATGCCCCGATGTCAGACCGGTTCAGACCTGCCCTGCATTCTTCACTGATGACGTGAACTCAGAGTACAGTCTGAGAAACAGCAGGACATGAAATCTTTCTAAAATCATTCTGCTAAAGCTTAAGCTAAACAGATGGCGCCGGTGATGAGGGCTGCCGTGTCTTTAGCTCCTCTCCAACTCGCCTTTTTTTTTGCTTTATTTCAGTGTTTGTTTACTTTTCGTTGTGTGCTTTTAACTTTGTCCGCAACATGCGAGCCGACCACACCAACTCTACTGTACATTATAGTGTGAGAAAAAGTTTTTAGAGAGTACTTGTCCATGGACAAGTGAGTTTGGCAATTTACTTGTCCGAATACATTTTTTTCAGAATGGACAAAAATTGGGGCCACTGGAATCTTCTTCATCGCCATCGTATTTTTACATTTTCCCACGGTTTTTACGACACCGCTAACGTAAGTGAGCGGTAAGATTTTACTGCATCACACATAGGGTTGGGTTACTTGGGTATCGTTTGGATTTTAACGATTCCGGTTCTGCTTTTCGATTCCGGTTATTTTCGGTTCTCGATTCCGGTTCTTTGAGAGGGTAAAAATAAGTCCCATGACAAACTGGGAGAAAAACATTTATGAAAACATTAAGTCAAATCTGTATTCCTATTTAGAAATCACTTCATACTGTTTAATTTCTTACGATTATTGAATAAAATTATATTAAAATAATCTCTGCATTGTTTAGTTAGCTCTAAGTGGTGCAGTTTGAGAATGTACAATTGGCCCAGTCTCCTCTGATGTTACACTGCAACCTGCCTGTGGGACAGAGTCCAACCACACATGTCCAACACATAGGCCTATAATAATAATATAATAATAATACATTATATTTATAGCCTATAGGCCTAGCGCTTTTCTACAACTCAAAGACGCTTGCATGCTTACACATGTCCTGCAATACACATGCTGCAGCTGCTCACTGTTTGTAAAAGTAAATAAATACTATTTTCATTACAAGAATGTACTTTCTATACCCTGCTTCATAAACAATACTGACATCCCTGTGCTCCTCCGAGTCTGGGGGTCCGGGGATGTGAGGACAGCGCGAGGACACAGACAGGGAGGCTGCTTTACTTCATAAAGGAAATGGCGTCAATATTAACAACATAGGAGCTAAAACGCTTAATAACCTTCATTACGTGTTAGAGAAAGAACATAAGAAAGGTTGACAAAGATGAGGCTGTTAAACGGGCAGCGGATCCGTTGTGTGTAGAGAGAGAGAGAGGCCGTTTCTCAATCGCGAGGATATTGGCTTCCAAGCCAATATTGCAAGGATGCTACGTCATCGAGTGCCGCCGAAGGACTGTTCCAATCTCCAGCATACTTGGAATTCCACCGAGGCCGCGTCCTTGGTTTGGGGGAAATTTCGAGGCTGCACATGGGTAGACTTCGCGTCCTTAAAATCCCCACAATGCTTTGCGCATGGACCAATTTCCCCAAATCTGTGGCGGAAGATGTAAAGCGGGGCCTCTCATATGACACACACCTGCACACTTGCTCGCCTGTTCCACTCTTTGTTTTCCGAATGCCAGGAAGTATTCTTGCCTTGCTTCTGAAGCAAGACGCTCAGCTCGGCTGTGCTACCAAGCCAGCATCCTCGCGATTGAGAAACGGCCAGAGAGAGAGAGAGAGAGAGAGAGAGAGAGAGAGAGAGAGAGGGAGAGGGAGGGAGGGAGAGAGAGACGCTGAACTGCACCGTGCAGCGATCAGATGATCCGGAGCATAGAGAGAGAGAGCTGCGGTCAGCGGGGCTCGGCCTCGCCTTCTGTCCTCATAACTCTTATTAATCAAGGTACCGGACAATTGTTATTTGTTCCTACTCGGAACCGAATTTTGCTTCCCAACCCTGACACTGTGCTACACTTCCCGCCCCGCCCCCGTCTAACAGTACAGAAAGCGGCGAGATGCATTTCCTGAATCGACAAGAAGAAACAAAACTACAATTTCTAAACAAACAATGGCGGACAAGGACAATTTGCGAACGAGTTCTACCTTTTGTAAACTGAATTTATCTATAATTTGTCAATAAATGAGGGCGAAAAACGTCACTTGTCCGCCGGACAAGTCAATTGAAAGATCTACTTGTCCGATATTGTAAATAACACGTCCCGGACGGTGGGACCAGTGGCGACTGGTCATTAGGGGCAGGTGGGGCACAGCCCCACCTAGTGTCAGCAGAAAGTATTACAAATAATGATTACAAAAATGCAAAAAAATAAATAAAAAAATATATAAAATATATTTTAAGATCATGTTTAATCTGATTCGTCTGTACATTGCTGTTTTAGTCTGTGTTCTTCTAATTAGTGTGTCTACAGTCACAGTGTGTGCCTATTGAGCTGTTTAGAGCCATGTGGGACAAAACCTGATTATGCCCCTTCCTCTCGCTGTGAAGTGGACGTTGACTGTAAAAACTTCACTGCGCATGCTCAGAGTATTTTGTAATGAAATGTGTGTGGCAAAAAAATAATGACCAGAGGGGCATGGAGCTGCCATCCCCACCATACGTCATCTCAAATCATTCAGAGCTGATTGGCTGTAAGTACGTGTGCCGCGAAAAGTGTGGTGTGTGAAGAGGAGACGAGAGAGCTGCAGTGACGCGTCCTAAAACCAGGAAGTAAGCACAAAAAAGCAATGAGATTTCTCCAGAGGATTTTAGAAAATAGCTCGAAATAAGATCTGTGGGAAACGTACCTGTTAGATAAATGCACGTTTTGATTAGCCGGAT